GAATATTGTATTATGTGCATTAAGATATTTGGATAAAAGTAAATATTTGCTTCTTCTTTTCATATTTGCTCATCTAAAACTCTCAACATCATAAAGTAAATGTTTTTCGTATGTTGTATGTTTTGGACACATCACTTTGCAGATACCGATGAAAAAGTGATTGATGAATGATTGCCAGGAAATATTAAAATGTTATATTGAATACTACACTGAAGTTTGCATTGTCCACAGTATAAAATCAACATTAAAATGGTAGCACTGAAGTTTCTTTTATTGTTTTTTTTTTTCTTCTAAGGTTGGCTTTTATCAGTTGTATGGTTAATCCTATGTCTTTGGTGTTATGGCTGTCTCATTGTTTCTACTTTTTCCCCATTAATGGAGGTGGTAATTCAATTTGTGTACTTGTTGAACAGAAACACTAGGTGGAGGTGATTACCTCTTTGCGGTTCGCATGTTCATGGTATTGTTCCGTCGAGAATTATCCTTTGGAGATTCTTTGTATCTTTGGGAGGTATTGAACTCCATAATTAAATCTCCTTGAACTGTATTCTCATATGTCTATGTGGTTCATAACTCCATTCGCTGTTGCCAAAATTCTTTTGTGGCATTCCATGTGTTTCACATTTTCTCTGAGTCTACGTTATCTCGACAATAAGCTTCTGCTTTTATATGGGACATGTTTGTTCCTTTAATTAGAATTGGAAGTCAAACTGTTATAATTAAATACACTTGTCCAAATGTATCTCTGATTTTCCATCTTAAGCAACTATTAAATAGTTAGAGTTGCCTGTTTTTGGAACAATTACAGGTCTATTTGTTCAGAAGGTGGTTGCTGATAGATAAACTACTTATTTCTTAACACTTTATAACTTCCACTTATTTCTTAACACTTTATAACTTCCTTTGAGGTACTAGATGCTTTTTCTTATGCTATATGGATGTTATACTGTGTACAAACATGATAAGGAATTAATATAGAACACAAATCCAATAAATTCTCAGATTGAAGTTATTGATAGTAGCTCCTAAAGTTAATACATATGGCTCCTTGTGGATTGTCTTCCACCACGCTGTTGCTTATATTCGCAGATAGTTATATTCCTTTCACTAACACCTTCGTTATCTACTTGGCTACATAATATTAGCTTTCACAGAGGAGACTTTATTGCTGCAGTAAAATTTGTTGCTATCTAAATAAACTAAGAGCCCAATAACTTGCATGGAGCAAGCTTAGTCACATGGTTCAAAGCAGATGCTTTGCTAGTAATAGTCACTAGATTTATGTAGTTTATTTTTTTTGTTCCCAATGTAGGACCATAGGGTACCAGACACTTTTTTCATGTTTAATGGTATAATTTATACACTAATGATATATATGAACTTTTTTCATACAGATGATGTGGGCTTTAGAATACTATCCTGATATGTTCTCTATGTATGAAGAGCCGGAGTTGGCCATTGAGAAGAATGAGACGTCTAAAGGGAAAGTTAAGTCAATACGTCAATTTGGGAAGTTTGAAAGGGAGAATATCAAGAATGGATCTAAAGGCTCTGAAACTCCTTTGCCAATCACAGTTTTTCTTGTTGCCAGTGTTCTCAAGGAGAAAAGTGCAAAGCTATTGCAGGAAGCACGTGGTTTGGATGATGTTGTTAAGGTAAGGAATTACACATCTCTATTGATATTCAATGGCTGCTTATAGTTAATGACCATATATATAAGCACAGCTAACTTATTATCTGGAAGGCAAAAACACACAATTTTAAAAGTATTTTTATTATCTGAAACAGGTTCTTTTCCCATTAACCAAACAGTTTAAAATTTGGTCTTCATTAATGAAGTTTAAATGGGCATTAACTAAATTTAATTGGTCATTGTGACCACCCATTCCTTGATAACAATGAATATATTGATGAAGCTATTTTCTTATGTGTGCTAAATACATAGGATTCTCCAAAGTGATTGACATATACTTTCAAGATTAGACAAAGTTAGTGTCAGTTTGCAATGCAAATATTGAGAACTGAAGGTTTTATCAAAGTAGAACCAGAAATAAGTAAATTGATCGTTAACTAGTGATAGAGTATAGTGAATAAACTGAGTTGCACATAAAATCAGCTGAAGAGAGAGATTTGGAACTTAAAAAAAAGGAACTCCAGTTAAATTGTTGAAAGTGATCAGTACACTCCTACGAAATAAATTATTTGGATATGGAACATCGATTTTATATAGTAACTGAAAAGTAGATTGAAGGCCCACCAATCGCTAACTAGGAATGGTGGGTTATCCAAGAGGCTTTCTTGTAGGTAAATGGTTGTGGTGCTGCTATGCACATGAAGGCTTAGTGCATCATGTAATACACATATATAAGGAACTCAAAGGAAGGGATTTGATAAAAAAACCTATAAAATAGATTGAGTGAAGTATTTTGTCTTGTTCATTAACATTCTTCACATATTAAATATAGTTAAAGTTTTGCAAGTCCTTACAATTTTTTAGGAGAGAACACTATTACTCTACTTTCCTTATTTAACCCTCAGTTGATGTTGCTTTGGTTCAGATTTTAAATGACGTAAGTGGAGATTTAGATGCAAAAAAGACTTGCAGCCATGCAATAAAGCTTCACAAGAAATATTTAAAAATGGTAAGCAAATCTTTCAAGTAGAATGTATTATGTTTATTTTTGTCTTCTTGCATTTAGTTGTCCTTGATTTTCTTGGTAATGGTGACAGTAGAGTACCATATATATCTAAGAAGCATGTTCCGCTTTACATTTTATCAATGCCATGGTGACAAAGATGATAGTCAGCACATATTAGGCCTGCCTTTAAGATTAGAATGCTGGACTACTAATTTTAAAAACACAAGCATTCAGCAATTTCTTTTTGGGATAGAAGTACATCTTACTAGTTGTGATTTCCTTTTGATGTTATCGAATGTACTTCATTCGTGCTCATTTTTTAGAACAACACCTTTTTCTTTGCTTCCTTTAATAGAAAAAGGAACATCAGAGGACACATTGGATCAATAATGTTTGCTAAAGGCAGTCCAGTTTTATCTGACCATGTAGCTGCCTCTATTCATGGACTTATAGGGATTAATATTTATCATCATCATGGTTTTCCATTAGATATCATTTTGTTTCATGCTTGTTCCATGAAACAAAAGAACCATTCTTGTTCCATGCTTGACTTTGTTTCTGGTAATTAATGATGGACAGATTTTCCATAATAACCTTATTTTCTTTATCTTATTTTAAAAGTCATTTTTATTCATTATAGTAGTACTATCTTGTTTATGAGTTGCAATTTATATCCTATAGAAATCGTGGGAAATTTGTCAGGATAGTTTTACATTTACATCACTATCATATCACCCTTGTTTACTCATAATTGTATGTGTTGCAATTTTAGCCTTTTCTGGGTAAAATCTTGTGATAGAAAGTGAACTTTAGAAAGCTCCTGTATTTTATATCTTTAGACATTATTCCTGAAGTTGAAAAACCCAGGTTGTTCTTGGTACTACTATACTTTTATTCATGTACAACAAACACCGTGAGAGTTTCTCAATCATCAATTTCCTCTATGAGTTTATCTTTATTAGATTGGAAATATGTTCTAATGCGATATCTGAAGACACCATTTTTCCTGTGGCCTCTCACAAATGCAGGCCAAGAAAATATAGTTTTTGGTGCATATAGATTCCACAGATAGGGTTGATTCCAAGCAGCATCACCATGCGAGGTTTACTTGACTTGATGAATAATAATTGGACGGAGGCCATCTCACTTGATCTGAAGCTTTCTGGAGTTATGCTTCAACCTGTTGTTGATCCTAATACATGTAAAACCATAGTCACATGCCTCATGTGTTCATCCAAACAAACCATCATAGTTGTACCACTCTCATCGATTTACAAGAAGCAAACTTTTGATGATTTATCAACTGTAACAATATCTGATTAAAACAAGCAAAATAGGTGATTTATGGCTGCATTTCCAATCTTTGTTGTCTTCTTCATCGGACTCGTAACTTCTTCCTGTAATGGTTACAGTCATATTGCTGATCACCGATGACCAGTTTGTATGGAGGAAAACTTGTTGTAGACAAGAACTAGAAGTGCTTACTCCTTAGAGAGGTCATCTGTTGTCATATTGCTCCCAGTGGACCATTGTCGTAATTCTTTGAAGTAAATTTGGTCAATTCGGTATAAAATTGACTCAATCTTTCGCAGCAGTCTCCCAAATTAATTAGTCTCATGCAGTGACTAATTTAGGGAAAAGAGAGATGCCGACATAGTGTTTTCCCCATCTAAGGGGACACATGATAGGGCGATCGCAGCCATCCGTATTGCGATCCCACCGCCATCGAGATCGAATGTCATGTGCCATCGTGTAGCATCTGCATCGTCCATTTCGCTTTTAAGTTCACGGAGGCGTTGATTTGAGACGATGTGGTATTGATACCATCATGTCACGGCCATCGAGGAGGCCACATGATAAGGCGATCGCAGCCGTTCACATTGCGATCGCATCGCCATCGCGTAGCATCTGCACCATCCATTTTGTTTTTTAGTTCACGGAGATGCTGATTTGAGGCGATGTAGTATCGAGACCATCGATGTCGCGCCCATCGAGGAGGCCATAAGATAAGATGATTGCAGTCGTCTATATCGCGATCCCACCGCCATCGATATCGAATACCTTGTGCCATCGCGTAGCATCTGCATCGTCCATTGGGCTTTTTAAGTCGGAGAGTTGTTGATCCGACGCGATGCAGCATCAAACTATCTTTTCACGCCCATCGAGGAGGTCACATGATAAGGCGATCGCAGCCGTCCGTATCGTGATCCCACCGCCATGGAGAGAGAGTGCCTTGTTCCGTCGCGAAGCGTATGTACCGTCCATTTAGCTTTATAGTTCGGGGAAGCGTTTGATTTTGTGAGGCGATGGCATCGAGACCATCGATGGCTTAGCGACCTAAGTAGTCTTACCGCGGCGGCCGCCGCGGAATCGATTTCCGTGGTCAATATTATTATATAAAAAAATCGAATAATGTGATCCATAAATAATAGAGAAGGGGGCGAATGAGTAGCCACAAAATCTTCTTCTTCTGCTTGTGATTGCAGCGACAGGCGTGTTCAATAACCTCTGCGAGGTGATATATCAAAGATCCGATCTTTTCTTCCTTGTTTATGTCGACCAAAAATATCCCTTCTTTGATGCGTTCGATTGGCTGATTCGGTCATGAACTCAAGGGCTTTTACGGTTGTTTTGCTGATTGATTTGGATTTGTGGTGTATGTCTTGACCTTGTTGACTTTCCTTCTGGTGATTCTTTTGGTATCCGATTCGATTTATTCAGACTGATTTGGACTTGTGCCGCCTGATGGGATTCCCTGCGGATCAGCAATGGAACTTTTTATTGGGAATATAGGTTGTTTGGTGAAACCTAGCGGGTTAAAAGATACAAGAGAAAGATATTTCTTTGAATCAAAATAGATTTGTTTGTTTATTTCTTTTTTATCATGTTTATGTTTGAAGGGGAATATCACAAGCAAAAGAGACTGGTTTTAGGGACAATGAACCATTTTGAGGATCTGAAGTTTGTTTTAAGGACAAAACTAGTCATTTTACTTTGCTTATAGTTTCTGCCCATATGGCAAAGATACAAGAAAGAATATTTTGTTCTGCCTTTTGTGGTATTTTAGTTTTGATATAGTTTGTGTATGTGCTGTGAGTTAGAAAGCTAGTAAAGATCCTCTCTGAGGTGTTCCTTCGTTATTGCTCTGCTTTTTGTTGCATCACTTGAACCCTTTTGCTATCTGAAGCAATTGTCTGGTGCACGTTGTCAATAGTTTTGGTGAATGTTGATCAATATATTATTTGATGCCAGCATATCCGATATGTGAACTAAATTGCATGAATCTGACTTGATGTCATTCGAAATAGGGCTAAAGATGTGTATTTTTGTACGATAACATACTTCACCCTTGCATTTTTTTTTCTTCCATTGATATTTGTGTTTTTGAGCCTTAAAAAAAAAGAGAAAAGGATTTCTTTTAACCTCTTTGAAGATCTTAAAACATTAACCAAGATCGAGTGAAGCAGTTGCAAAGTTTATTTTAGATGTAGGCAATATGGACTGGACAACATTCTCTAGAAATGATGATGGATGATGGCTCTTTCACCTTTTCATAAAATGCTTTATCACCCCATCACCCCCTATAAAATACATTGGATGTTAGTTTAACTCTATAGAATGTAACATTTTTTACACTGTTCTTTAGCAGCTGAAACTGCGATGGTAACCACTATTGCATCCATCTGAGAATGACTATATAATTTTTTTTTCTAACCTTTGAGTCTGCCTGATCATATGCAGCTATTTTTTATTACATAGTAACTCAGTTTTTCATCACATCTACTACCATTGTCAATGGAAGCAAAGCCTTAATAAGTTAACTTTGTTGCTTGTATGCCTGAGTTCATTTTCTCCTGCAGCTATGATTTGTATGACAAGTCATCCTTTTACAGTGCTATTGTTACTTCTGTTGGGTCATTCTGTTAGATTTAGTTGCATTGTCTTTTCTAAGTTCTATGCTGTTGGTCATTTGATTGAACCCAAAAAAGAATGTCATTCTAAATGTTACTTTAAGTGATATCTTGGAAGACCTAGTATTATTTTATTGCCATTTTTTGACTAATTTATATTTGATTGATCTGTTCTATTTTAATAAGCTCATAGTTTGTCATGATCCCCATATGCATGACTTCCTTTTGGTCCTTACAAATGCACCTGTGTACATTGCTGACTGAATGATCTTCTCCTGAAGCAAATGCAAAGCATTATTTTCTCATTGTCAACTGAATGTTAACAGTTTCTAAAAATTGCATGATTTTCAGGTTTGATCAAAGCCAGTTAGTTTTTGTTCGGTCATTCTCTAACCAGTTCCAGTGTTCATGTCTGATCTCGACGCCCAGATCCCAACTGCTTTTGGTATGTTCAGAAAGTCCTACCACCAGTCCTTGCAGATTCGTTGCACAAATAGGCAAATGTATTTATCATGCTACAACATCTTGGCAACCCCTTCTGTTTTACTGTAGATCCTTTTGCTGATGCGAATGCTGACGACTCTGATGCTGGAACAAAGGAGTATGTGCATATTCGTATACAGCAGCGGAACGGCCGGAAGAGTCTGACCACAGTGCAAGGATTGAAGAAAGAGTTCAGCTACAACAAGATCTTGAAGGATCTGAAGAAGGAATTCTGCTGTAATGGTACTGTGGTCCAGGACCCCGAGTTGGGCCAGGTATTGTTTTACCACTTTTGTTTGATGTGCTAAAATTGAGGGCGAACTTTTGACTAATGGAATGTGTTTTTTATTTTTATTTTTTTCTTAAGGTCATTCAACTTCAAGGCGACCAGCGGAAGAACGTTTCCAATTTCTTAGTTCAGGTACTATTTAGATTTGGTCACTGTGGAAAAACTATATTCTGTCATATGGTGGTGAAATGATGGTATGTCTTTTGTCATTTTTATTGTGCAGGCAGGGATTGTGAAGAAAGAAAACATTAAAATTCATGGTTTCTAAGTAGCTGCACACCGGGCTCAATAGCTTTCCATCAAGACATACATATAGCTTGTTTCTTGTTGCATGCATTAAGACTGCTGTAACCATAGGAGCCCATCCCCGGATGGCTCTGGGCTCATCTATATAAACCTATTTGTCTTAAGAGCATATTATGTTTGGATTGTGAAGAAAGAACACATTAAAATTGATGGTTTGTAAGTAGCTACATACTGTGTGCTCAACAGCTTTCCATCACGACATACCCATCATATAGCTTGTTTCTTGTTTCGTGCTTTAAGACTTTGCTGTAACTATAGGAGATCCCATCCCTGGATGGCTCATCTCTATAAACCTATTTGTGTTAAGAGCAGATTATGTTTGGATACTGTTGTTGCAAACTTGAGTCTGATGTTTTACTTATTAGTGTTTGAGTGATGATGTTGAAGTATGTCTGTGTTCTTACCATCTATCTTCTTGTTGTCAGTGCATTGTGAACATGACTGCAGCTACTGAAAACATCGAGCTTTCAAGCGGTTTGGGTGTATGCATATGAATTGTTCATGGTGTTTCATTTGACTTGAACTAATGCTTCTTCATCCTTTCCTTTCGAGTCCATGAGTCGATTGTGTCACGCTAGATGACCTGCCGCCACGTATCTCGGCGACCAGCTCTTCTCCGCCATGGGCACAAGCCCGCCAACCTCTTCCTGGACTAGCTCGGTGTACCGAATGACGAGGCCGATAACTGCGTCGTGGTACGCCACGCTCTCGTTCCACCGTCACCAGCCGCTGCTTCGCCCGCCCCAACGTCGAGTTCTTCAACACGGTCGCCGCCGAGGACCGGATCGTCGAGGAAGGCCGCCTCAACATGAACGCGGCGGAGGATAATAGCGTCCGCCTCATCAGGGAGGTCGTGCCCGGTATGATCGTCGCTGGCATGGAGATCACCGAGATCGACAGAGCCCCAAGAATGGTATAAAAATCCGATCTTTCTTCATTATTTAGATGCAAGATTTGTTATTTCAATTATCTCGATAGCAAAGATTTAATCTTTAAATCATTCGTGTCAACGATTCTCTTCATCTCATTTACTTTAGGGAGAAGCAGAGCTTGCAGAGACGAATAGGGGCCGCCGACCTTTGGGCGATGATGATCCGGGCAGAAGGCATTGGAGCTTCATCTCCAAATAATTAGATATGCATCAAATTTTATGCACTATGCACACCGCACATCTCTCTCTCTCTCTCTCTCGTGTCTCTCTACGTATCATCCTACCAGTTTCAAACTCCTTTCTCTGTTTTCTATTCATTTGTTTCTTGGCACAAACAAGTGGGATATGAGGGACTCAGCTGCCTTCTTCGCATCAGTTAGGATCACCAGAAGCGGTGGTGGTCATCCTGCCCATAGCCATGGTGAAATAGACTAGTATCAGTGTTCCCATGCAGGACCTGCACCCAACGCGCCGACTTGCAGTGACGATAGGGAAGCAATTTCACCGCTTAAAGCTTACAAGCATGTACTGACGACACGAAGCTTACAAGGAGGCGAAGACGAACAGGACTCGTCTCGGATTGCACCACCGCGACGGCCGCAGTCGGCCGCCTGCTCTCCTGCACCGCCCTCCCGCCGCCGCGATCGCCACGTGTACCGTTCTTGGATGTTCGTCCCTCCCTGTGGGCCCACCTGCGCGGTGTTGTTTCTCTTGGTAATTTCTTGCCATGGCGAGCGAAAGACGACTTCGACCTCCGATCACTGCCGTCCATGAGAACGAAAGGGACTACTCACCTACGGATGACAACGCGACGGATTGTCTTCCTCCGCCACCGCCCGCCTCTGATCCATTTCTTGATAGATTCTTCTTCACCTCCGTTACCTTCATGATTGTAGACATCAATTAAGCTTAATTATGCATCCCTCTTCCAATCCATGATGCTAGAAGGGAAAGGAGGATGAGGAGATCATCAAGAGAGTTACAAGCGATCGCGGGCTCGCAGAAGAAGGCTCCCACCGATCAGCTGCATTAACGATGAGTTCTTCGACGTTGAGAGCGACGAAACCATCTCCCGGTTTACTGCTATCTTCACCATCGAAATCCATGCCCGAAGCGTGCAGTTTCGACTCTTCGACAGATGCAGACGACTCCGAGAGATCCTCTTCAGATTCCTGTGGATTACTCATAGCTCTGATTACAGTATCAGTATGCATGAAGCAACGAAACCAAAGGGAATCAGCAGACTCACCAACTGCAGCGTATCCATTTGTTGGATAGCTGAAGGCATGGCTTAAGACATCTTCTTAGAAGACCTCTCACTTCGTCTAGTGCACGAAAACCAGAAGAGCAAAAACCAAAGAGAAGCATTTTGATGCTCCTTCCCACGCCATCCGGTCACAATCAATCAATTTGGTGTGCCAATGACTTGGGAACTACACATGATTTCGACCAGGGAGTATGACAAAATGTGATTTGATTTGAGACACAAAAGGTGTATATTAAAGCTGTTCCTTCGTAATTAAGGGAGTATAGCAACAGTAATATGATGACCGACAAAGTGCATTTTTGGTAGAGAATCAATTGACTGACTCGTAAGTTGATGATATGCATGTGTTAATATTTTGATGTTAGAAGGAGAGTTAAATTTCGTAGGAACATCTTTCTACCACTTCTCCTAACGAGCGCTCTTGTAAGGAGGTATTACCGATGGCCCCTAGCCCATTCGAGTAGAGAGGATATATGCCTCCCTTTCAACAGAATGATGCATCCACCTCGGCCTAGATGCTAGAGCCCTACTGGCGTTTTCTCAACGACCCAAGACTTGTCCTCTTTGGTTGGGAATGGGCTCTCTTTCCTAAGCCTTGCTCAGCAAGTCCAAACCCATACTAACGTGATGCAAGTCATCGCCCCACTCCTCCCTCAGTTGATGTAGTTAATGATTTCGGCGCAACGGGCCTCACTCCCCCTTGGCCGTTGACTGCACATCCCCCACTTGAAGCTCAATCGGAGAGTCCACACCTCACCTTCCAAGAACCTCCTCAATAGGAAGTGACCGGCGGTGCCGCACTACACCCTTTGACAATGGAACATAGCGCTCTTCCAAGTTGCACCCAAACTCTGCTAGAATCCGAGGCTTAGTTTGTTGATTCCTAGGAACATCCGATGAAGGCATAGCTCTAGGCCATAAACCGGAGGCTAGACGAGGTTCAACAGGAACTCTGGCACCCCCGTAGCGATCCCGACATGCCCCATGTATTCTTCTTTATTTAGAGCATCCAGGAGGAGCCCATCCCGACCAGCTTCCGCCTTCCGAGTTTGGAAACCTTCGATGGAGGCTCTAACCCTGTAGAACACACTACGTTCTGGGCCCAAATGTGTCTATTTGACACTTTGGATGCTTTGATGTGTTAGACATTCTCGATGACACTAAGGGGGGTCAACCCGAGAATGGTACGATCGCCTCAAGCCCCTTTCAATTACTTCTTTTTCGCAACTCGCCAAAGTGTTCGAGCTCCGCTTCCTTACTAACGTGCGACCAAAGCCCTCAACTAATGTCCTACCTGGGCTTAGGCAAAGGGAGGACGAGCCCCTATCCAGCTTCATCACCCAATTCGTCGGGGAGATTCGAGAGATTCAAGATGTCCACCCCTCATTAATAATTCAGGCCTTCATGATGGGCCTAAGGCTTGCCCACTTTTTCTGGTTGTTGGTCGAAAGACCTCCCACGACCATCCCAAAAATGCTCTAGAGGGTCAACTAGTACACATTAGCCGAGGCCATGATATCGGGACACTAGGAGGAGGGACGCAGGAGGGCACGCTATGAACCTCGGTCTCGACCCTGGAGTTGCCTCAGAGAAGGCATCCATGAATAGATGATCGACGGGAGAGAACCGGGCCGCTCCCTCACAACATGATGAGGACAGAGATTTTTCTCCTAATAAAGGAGAAGGGCCTACTAAAAGAGCCCAGACCCATGAGAGGATCTCCAGAGTAGAGAAACAAATCCAAGTACTATCGTTTTCACCGTGACTATAGATATGACATCAAAGAGTGTCGGGATTTAAGGTATCAGATTGAGGAGCTCATTAGGAAAGATCACTTGACAAGGCACCTAGGCTAGCCCCAAGAGCATTTGCCCCATCCCCGAGGATCCGTGGAAAAGTAGATTAATGTCATCTTTGGGGGGCACACTTCCAGAGGTGAAAGCTCCTCGGGTCGGAAAGCCTATGCTCGAGCCTCCTTAGAAAAAACCTCAAGGATCAAAGAAGTGCCTAGGATCATCTTCAGAGAAGAAGATGCATGCCACCTAGATCTCATCCACGACAATGCTTTGGTAATCTCTATTTGGATAGCCAATGCCCTTATCAAGAGGGTGATGATTAATATTGGCAACTCCGTCGACGTGCTTTATCTCGACGCCTTTCGGAAGCTGGAGTTAGCTATGAGTGACCTCTCTCTAATGATGTCCATACTATTAGGATTTACAGGGGACCTCATCTCCCCCCGAGCACAATCACTTCCACATCACCTTTGGTAAGGAGCCTCGATCTAACACGCTACCGGCCAAGTTTGTAATGGTAGACTTTTCTTCTGCATACAATGCCATCATAGCCACCCCCTCCTCAACTATTTGAAGGACGTGGTCTCCACGTATCACATGATGATGATTAAGTTCCCCACCTGGGATATCATCGGTGGAGTATAGGGTAACTCTCAAGAATCTATACACTGCTACTTGATGACAGTTTCACTTTCCAAGAAAAAAGAAAAACCAGCGAAATCCTAGGAATCCTCTAGACACAAAATTGCTAGTCATAGGTGCCTGTAAGCCAATCATGTGAGTGATGACATGTATGACATGATACACATTCTTTTTGCTTATTATATTATTTGATATTTTATCACTTTATCCTACATGTTGCATATATTGTGATGTTTGTGAATCTGTGCAATGAGAATCGGATCGTGATGAGATCACGATAATAAAACCAATTTGTCTTTAAACATAGACCATAAATAATCTCGGTCATAGGTCACTCGAGAGGGACATTGAATGATCAGATAGACTAGTGTGCTATATACCCGTTCATATAATAGAGGTAGCTGGTCTCATAGTTGCTTGTGTGAGGATACTAGGGATACTCTTCTTTATCGGTGATCCATATAGCAAATGTAGCGTGACGCTCCTCAGATTGCTGTAGGATCTCTCTCTCCATGCATACCATAAGGCAACTAAAGCCAAGGAGAAGGAGAGGAGACTGAGGAAAATAGGAGGGTTGACCATCAGAAGTTCTAGCCTATAAACCATGTGGTTTCCCCACGGGACAACATCAAGGCCCCAAAAGCCAAAAAAGAGGTCGCTCGAATCCCTAAACGGATCAAGCTTCTGACTTACGAATGATCTTCGCCATCATTAAAGATAGTGTATAGTGGGGTGCTAAGAGAAGATAAAACTATTTATTTCCTTAGAGAAGAATTTGATGTGGATAGAAATTTAAGCACCACAAATAAATTTCTTGTAAAATTTTGTTCATACTGCTATAATATCCGATCAAACCATATATTATCAATCAAGACTATTGACATTTTGATGATCGGTGCCACGTAAGCATGCTTCCAAATGTTCAAGAAAGTTTCTTATTATTTATGTTTGAACATAGAAAAGAAAATCTATTTTTATTGATTTAAATATCGAAGGTATTATAGTATAGTTTTAAAATATTTTTCGACTTCAAAGAATTTCCATGATGACAAAAAAGGATGAGAAAGGACAATCATCTTAGTTGCACGATATTTGATTTTTAAACATGATAGCATTCAAAATCCGAATCATATTAGGTTACCTTTTATCGTATGAGGTTGACAAATTATTTTTTATACTAATATAACACGTGATACATTGTTCCACGCCATGATATCGTTAACAATCACCATTACAGACACTATATGATGATGACCTTCACCATCAACATTTGTATCTTGTGAACATTATAATTAATAATCAATATTATTATATACTATTAGTATTGTTGTCACCATCATCATTAATCATGATATCTACCATAGTACCATCAAGTCACGGGCTCCTAACTAAATCGTGATGATGACGATATCACTCTCTTCCAAATAAATTTGTGAGGTTTAGAAATGCCAAGAAAAGAAAGTTTTCATAGTAAAAGTATTTTTTTTGTGTGAAGAAAGAATATATTTATATAAAGGACTCTGTTAAATGTAAGATTTGGTTCCAAAAAAAGATATAAATAGTACTCCAACTTATATTACTAGTAATATATAGAAATTTCTTTCACTTTGAAAACCAAAAGAATATGAAAGATTTGTCATTATGAAAAATCTTTTCAAAGCGAAAGTGAAAACATTAGGAACCTATCACTTGCGTAGAGATGAATTATTTTATGGATCTTTTAAACATAAGCTATATTTTTAAAAATTTAGTTTTCTTGTTTAAAATGATGAGTTAGAATATTATTTTGAGAATGATAAACTTAGTATAGTTTATAATTTAAGAGATATTATTCTTGGATATTTTATTAGTTATCCAAAAAATTTCAAGGGATATAGATTTTATTATCCTTATCATAGTTGAAATTAAGAGACCATAATAGTATTTAAAAACTCATTGAATTATCTAATATTATAAAATAATTAATTATAAATAGATTTTTAAGATAAAACATAACTCAAAGGGTAATATCAAATGATATAAGACCAAACTTGTGTCTAAAATTTTTTCTCAAAATGAATGTGTTGACAATAACGAATTTTTTTTTTTCGGTTTCTAAAAAGGACTCATTGAAGATTGTAATGACCTTAATAGTTTGTTATGAACTTAAGTTACATCATATGGATATAAAAATAATATTTTTGAATGAGGATTTAAATAAGAAAATCTATATGGAACAACCTAAAGGATTCACAGAAAAAAAAAAAGTTGAGCTTATAAATCTAGAAAATCTATTTATAGTATTAAACAAGATTCTAGACAATAATATATAAAGTTTCATAATACTATTACTTTTTTTTTAAATTTAAAAATGATATATATATATATACATATATACATATACATATATACATATATACATATATACATATATACATATATATACATACATATATATATATACATATATATATATACATATATATATATACATATATATATATACATATACATATATATACATACATATATATATATATACATACATATATATATATATACATATATATATATATATATACATATATATATATATATCCAAAGCATATTGAGAGAAAATACTTAGTAGTTAGAGAAGTAGTCCAAAAACAATAAGTGTCAATTGAGAACCTAAGTACCACTTTGATGATTGCTAATCTATTTACTAAAACTTTACAGGTTAAAGTGTTTAAGAAACATGTTCTTATAATAGGATTTATAAGCAACCCATAAAAGGTATGGTCATACATATTTAAGTGGATAATATTATTGATATTTTTCTTACTTAATTAAAATTATTTATTTTTACTATCCAGTTTATATTTATGTTTATACATATTATAATTGAATATAATGATAGGATTATCTGGATAAGATAAATTATAAGAGTTATTATAAACTGTATTAGGAAAAACTAATAATGTTATGATATATAGAAGGAAGTATGTTATTGATGATATACAATCATTATGACTTGTATTGTTTTAAAATTCATAACTATCTGTGAAATGCTTTTCAAAATCTTCAAAACCAAATTAGGCAAATTATTTTTAAATAAAGTTGTATTTTATTTATTTCGATTTTAATTTTTTTATATCTTATCAATTAATGGACAAAATGAGAACATAATAGATTATATAATTATATTTAATTAGATAAGATATATTATAAATTTGATTAAATTTTAATTAAGATTATCGATCAATAAAAAGTAAGTGTACATATGATAAGATTCTTCAAGAGATGACGTTAATTGGAGGGACTCTCTTACTTTCTTATCATAGACCCTTTATTTTCGTCTATAAATAAATAATACCTCCTAGAGACTGCACATTATATGAGATCTATTTTCAACCTTCATAAGTTTCTATTTCATTGCTTATAGTGATTTGTGAAGGATAGAAAAAGAGAAGAAGACGAGTTTAATTTTTATTGCAGATCTGCATTGTTCTAGTTTTTGGATCCTACGACGATATATTTTTTGAATAATATTGAGAGGTACGTAATAATGATCTTTATCTATAATTATTTAATTTTAATTTTGATATTAATTTTTTACATAATAATAATATAATTATAATTTTTATACTTACACGTCCTGCTTCGGCCATCCTCACATGACCAAAGTTTGCTTGGTCTTCGCATGACCCTTTTTCAAATGAAACTCTTAAGCAAGATGTTAGATCCTAATCACTTTTTATGTCTTTTGATAATTCTACCGAAAGCTTATAGTACTGAAGAACAGTGGTAAATGCAAGCAAAAACATCCCACCAATTGTAATTAAATTGAGGTTGGATTTAGGGTCTGTTAAATCAAGCCATCACATTCCTAAGATAATTGACCAGTTAATTAAACAATGGCATGTTTTATTCCAAGGGCTTCCGATTGAAACCAGTGAGGCATTCAGGACCACAGAATCACTAGGCTGTATTATCTATGTTACCTAACATGATTTGACCAACTGTGCTAAATAGTATTACTTGAGCAAACGTAGTTGACCATCTCAAATCAATTCAGCGGAATACAGCTTGAAACAAGAATTGGGCCGTGGTATGTGGCTTTAGATAAGATAAACTCGGTTCACAAAGGCAAAGGCATGTGATGCACAGCCATAATAGATGAACAACAAGTGGGAGGAAGACTATTCTTGAAAAAGTCAATCACAGTATAATTCTTTAGATTCATCTTTTTAGTATCATCTAGTCCATGTTTGGAAACAAGCATGTTCTTGTCGTTAATGAGCAGTAATTAACGGGCGCTTAAGATCATTCAACAAGCCTATCATGGTCGTGCATGTTGGATGCGTAGTTAATATACAGCTGAAGCCTAAAGAACATGAACGGTCCTCTCTCTCTCTCTCTCTCTCTCTCTCTCTCTCTGTGTATCATGCATGAACAGCCCGATTCTGTCCATCCCAATCCTTCAGAGTAAAGTCAACTGAGTGGACCAAAAGTTAATACAATCTCTCTCACCAACGAAACTTTCCAGAGACAATATCTAAGGATTCTTCGGACGGAATAAAAGCGAGGCGTACGATCCAACCATTCCGAGGCACCCACCAGTGGCTATATAAGGGCTCGCTCTGAATCGCTCCACAGCATCACAAGAATCAAGCACGATACTTGTGCCCACAGTGATGGCTTCCAAGTCTCTCTTCGTCTTCTTCCTCCCTTTGGTTCTCTCTCCCTTCTTCTCAGGCTGTGCGGAGGCCCAAGGCGGCCTACGTGTTGGGTACTACAGCCAGACATGCCCTAAAGCCGAGGCCATCATTAATGCTGAGATGAGGAAGATCATCAAGTACGCACCAAGTCTTGGCGGTCCACTGCTGAGGTTGCACTTCCATGATTGCTTTGTAAGGGTGAGTGTTCTTGAGGCACCTGTGTGCATTTTCCAAGGATCAACGCGGCTAACCCAAGTTTTCTCTGCATGCAGGGATGCGATGCTTCAGTTCTACTGAACTCTGCTAACGGGCAGGCAGCCGAGAAGGACGGGATTCCGAATCAAAGCCTCGGAGGGTACGGCGTGATCGATGTTGTGAAGGTCAAGCTCGAGAAGGCTTGCCCAGGGGTCGTCTCCTGCGCCGATATCCTCGCCCTTGTGGCCAGGGACGTGGTAGCTTTGGTAAGCCAATCGAAACACGAAACCATATGATGATTTCAATGACTGCTTGTCTAATGGCTCTCTCTCTCTCTCCGCCTTCAGAGCAAAGGCCCTTATTGGCAGGTACCGACTGGGCGAAGAGATGGCACGGTATCGATCGCCAGTGAGGCCTTTCAGCTGCCGCGACCCACCGACGGAATCTCTCAGCTGATCCAAAATTTTGCTGGCAAGGGATTAAGTGTGCAGGACCTCGTAGTTCTATCAGGTAAGCGGACTCTGGATTTAAGTTTGAGCTATTCATGTACAGATTACTAACGATACTGTTCTTCTTTGCTGAGTAGGTGCACACACGATCGGGGTCTCTCACTGTTCCTCCTTCTCCAGCCGCATCTACGGCTCCGATCCCAGTATCGATCCCAAGTACGCAGCAACGCTAAGGATGAAGTGCAAACCCAAGGACCTGACCACCCTCGTGCAGATGGATCCTGGGAGCGTCACCACGTTCGACACGGGGTACTACAAGCAGGTGTCGGGGAATAGAGGGCTGCTCAACTCCGACGCGGCTTTGCTGCAGAACCCGCAAACGAAAGCGTACGTGCTGCGCCAGTCGACTGGATCTGCGTCGCAGTTCTTCAAGGATTTCGGCGACTCCATGGTCAAAATGGGGAACATTGGCGTGCTCACCGGCGCAGCGGGACAGATCAGGAAGAAGTGTTTTGCTGTTAATTAGCTTCGTGGATTGTGGGTTTGGGACATGAAGTAGTGCATTGATTTGTTCTAACAATAACGGAGGAGATCCACCAGTGCATTGGGTTCCTTCTTTCGAGAATAAAACTCAGCTTTTTATAATATTCCACTTGTGTCTTGTTTTGATCTTTGCATGCCGTAATATATGCATGGCAATGAATGCATCAGAGGAGGAAGTAAGATGGAGTTGTATACGTGAGAATGGGCTTTCATATGAATCCAATTCATGATATAAACTACAATCTAAGAACTTAACTTATATAGAGTGTACAAATGGAATCAAAAAATCAAATCTAATTGGAATCGACCCATCTAGAATCGATTCAATCCTATAGACCAATTTAGAGAAAAAGAAAAATAATAAATAAAGGATTGAGCGTTGATAGAGAATACAATGCTAGCTAACATGTGATTGTAACGTGGGACCCGAGGCACCCTCCATTGTAATCCAAATCAGAAATATAAACTATGATTTAAGAACTTGAGTTATATAGAGTATTCAAATGGAATAAAAAAATCAAACCTAATTGTAATCGAACCTGCAATCCTTAGGTTATATAGAGTGTTCAAATGGAACTAAAAAATCAAACCTAATTGGAATCGAACCCATAATCCAATAGATCAATCTAGAGAAAAAATAAATAAATAAATAAAAATACAAAGTTCAAAGTATACCAACATAAGGTTTCTGCTCATCAATTATCTATTATGCTAAGAAAGGCAAACACAAGCTTTTTCTCATTCATTACAACGATAAAAATAACCACAAACTCTATTCTCATCATTTAATATATATAAAAAATATCTTAAACCCAAAACTCCTTTTGAATAACTGAAACTCATATTTAGGGATCTCGGTTTACAAATTTGAGTATGAAAGAGGCCAGGTCGGGAAACCTCTCCCGACCTTAGTTTTCATGTATGTGACACCTTGGGAGCATGATATTCCTACCTTGGAGATACCTCATACAATCCTATGCATACGAGTCTAAACCACGTCAAGCTAAACAAGATGTCAATGATATTTTTTCTAATATTTTGGTACTAGAAGGGGGGCCCAAAGTCGTAGAAACGTCCACATACTAACCTTTTCAATGAATGCTCGAGTGAGGGGGCCTTTTTTGTATGTGGATGTAAACACTTCAGCTCAAATGCCGACAGGATATAGGCATCTATTCAATAACCCAAGCCTCTCACTCCTATAGATAATCCCGAGCCACCTACTCGTCCCCATTGAAGTGTTTTTGAATCTCACCCAATAAGTGCAAATGTTAATAGGTATAATGCAAGCTGTTATTCCACTCTTGCCCTAGCTAGCCTGATTTCGCCCTTGGAGCGTGAAGAAGCATTAGAAGTTGTAGCTCTTATACAAGAACGACCTCGCCATCACTCTCGCAGCTATCCTCGAGCTACCAAAGGCAATCTCCAAGATCAAGATGCTACTGAATTCCATCTCTAACAAAGTGAGGGAAGGAGAGATCTTCGTAGTGCTGGGGTTGAATGGCTCTAGCAAGTCCACCCTAATTGATGCCTTTGAGAACCACATCATGTGGGAGAGCCTATAGGGTCCCATCACTTTCAACAACGAGAAACTTGAGGGGTGGCTTCTCGAGGTGATCTCTACTTACTTTATACAAAACGACCTCCTACAGCCCATGCTCACCATGAAAGAGATCTTGATATTCTCTATAGAGTTTCGACTACCATAGTTAAGAAAAACATGACCCACGTGAAGTAAAATCTACCATAGTAGAGGGAGCTCCACAATAATAGGAGCACTTGAAATCCGTCGTAATAGAGGAAGGACACGAAACCCACCGCAATAGGAGGACCCAAAATCTGCCACGATGGAGAGAAGACTTGAAATCAATTACAATGGGAGGAATTAAAATCCACCATGGTGGAGGGAGAACTTAAAGCTCGCCATAGCGGAAGGACCCAAAATTTGTCATAATAGAGGGAGAATTTGAAGCCTATCATGATGGGAGGACCCAAATGGATCAAGGAATCTTGATAGGTGCTAATGGTGGTGGAGTCGAGGACTATAATTAAGTTAGTGGCATCGCCTATTGATCAACTAAGGTAAAAGCGGAGCATTGCCTGTATGCCTATTAGCATGTGCACTTACTAAATGAGATTTAAGAATACCTTGATGGGGGCAAGTAGGTGGCTCGAGATTATCCCTTAAGAGTGAGACACCTTGTTCATTGAATGGGCACCAATGTTGCATTAATGTCTCTATTGCGGTGGATATACCGAAGTGCAAAAAGGGTAGTTGTTGTCCCCCATTAACGAAAGTGTTATGGGTCGAGGGCAAAGCTTCTTTGCTTGAGCATTCATTAAGAGGATTGGCGGGTGGACATTCCTATAACATCAAACCCTCATTCCAGTTTCAAAAATATTATGGGAAGATGTCGTTAATGCCTTAGACAACCGACGTGGTCTAAACTCATTACATAGGATTGTCCAAAGTGTTGCCTATATGAAGATTAAGGTCAATAGAAAAGTTTTTCAACATGATTCCTCTAATATCCAAGTTAATAATCCGAGATAAGTGTATTCTCATAAGTGGTCAAAAGTGATTTTTTTTATTATGTTAAAAATAAGCATTTATACCTCATCATAAATAGACAGAATATTCTATAAAATATTCTATAGGGAGGTATAGCCCTCAATCGCCTCTAACAATCCCTCCTTGACCTTTTTCTTTATATGGGTAACAATAATAAAATAGCTTGCAACCATCTACCTTTGACTCTTATTAACCTAGGCAATCTGGTTACGGATAACTTGTCTATTGAAATCATATGTGATAATTAATGATATCCTCCCTATCAAATAGTAAAGTTCTTGGAAAAATGAGATACTTTCCAACAAAAAATTAAAAATAAGTGTTTTCTTAAGAATTGGCCGAATTAAGTTCATTTTTCAACGTCAGCGTAACAACCAAAGGCAAGAAAATACAGCATGATGTGGAAAGTTATAATGTAATCAATGCTTATTGTTGTGTACACAGATGCACAGAATGAATGGTCAACGCCCTAAGCATCAAAGAAGGGGTACAACTCATATCTTATATTACAGCTGCCGCCTACCACCCTTCCTCCTCGCTTCCCATCGCAGCAGCTGGGAAGCTCACCAATGACGGCTTCGAGGCACTTCTTGCAGTCACCGCCAGATAGATCTTTCGTACACTGAACCAATCCGTAGAGCTCTTGCGACTCTCCGATCTCCATCTCTCCGGTGGCAAACAACAGCGGCGAGATGTACGCCTTCTGCTTCAGCCTGTTCATCAAGTTCTCCACCTTGCCATCGAACATGACAGCGTCAGAAACGTTCTCCCTGTTCCACATGTAGAACCTATGGTCAAAGTCGATCTCCCCGAAGAACTCGACGTCCGAGTACCGCAACATGCACTCATCGAACCATATGATCCCGTCCTTGTTGTTGGGGCACAAATCGCGGACTCGTGCGCCGGCTGTGCGGACGCACGTCGTGCACGCTGTGCTCTTGATGTCGCCCCGACACAGTGCGAGCCCGTTCGCCCTAGCACCGCCTTGGCCGACGGAGCCAAGCGCGAAGCCGATGGGTGAGGCTTTTGTAGCAAGCATGAACATGAGTTGACGCAAGTTGTCGCCGAAGGCGTCGTTTGCTGTGTAGTTTCTAGAGGTCGAGCAAACAGCGTAGAGAGGATCGACTGCGGCGACGCCAAATGATACGTGGAGGAGAAGAGCCAAGGAGAGGAGGCGAAGACGAGACGACGACGACGACGGAAGGAGATGCATGTTGTGAGGAGAGCTGTCGAGTACTTGTTCGGAAGGGCAATTCTAAAGCGTTTTATAGGCGAATGTGTTTGAAAGCGTCATGAGGTCAAGCACAAAGATGCAGAAGCTTTCTTCGACGAAGGGGTCCAACTGCGGATAGCTAGTCAAGTTGGATATTTCTTGCATGGAAAAAGTCAATTGATTCGCTTGGATCTAAGAGTAGGTAAAGGTGGTGTTTGGAGCAATGATTATTTAATGATTTGATGATTGAGATGCTACATGTGATTGAGAATTGTATGAGAAGAAAGCTCTGTCATCCACTTCTATTCTTTCCATTGTAGACTTATTATATTCTCCATTCCTTCCATGACCAACTGATGAACACATGCAAATAGACGATACTTCGAGAGAGAATAAGAAGAAGAGAGAATAGACCAGATTTTTTGTTTGTTTGGATCAGTAGAACAGACCAGAAACGAGGGACTGCTTAGAAATCTATTCTTTCTGCATTAAAGAAAATGAGATCTAGAAAGAATCAACAGATTAAATTGGTGTTTTGTGATGGCCAAACAGCAAGAAAGATGCTACAGACTAAACGGACAAAGATAAGAGGCAGGCGAGTCTGTGAGATATAGTAGAATAAGATCTTCCACTAAAGTCCAAGGTAGGTCGGTCGACACCCCCTCAGAAGATGACGGCACTAGACCCATCTCTCTCTCTCTCTCTCTCTCACTCGCTGTAGGGCACTAGTTTGCGTAAGCCTCATCAACTCTCTGCACAGGATAAGGGATTTTGACCATCAATGGATGGATAAAGAAACAAGAAAAAGGAGGACAAATGGCACGCTTCTACGGATGGAGTGCATTCTTTTTACTTTTTCCTGAGGATAATTGCAGGGAGTCAAGAGAGCATTAATCTCTCTGAAATATGTGTATTATTGCGGTTGGGTAATTACTTCTGAGATGATAATTTTAGAAGAAACAGTAATTACTCTGTTGAGCAGTCATGGATCACTTGTGCAAAAAACAAAATTAAGGATAGCATGTTTTTCGAGAATAGGAAGTTTAGCGGAAGTAAAATATATTCATGTGTACAAGATAAAAGAAGATGAATAAAGAAAATAATCTTAGATTATTATGAAGAATTTAAGAAGATAGATTATATATATTAGATGTAGCATTCAATCTATATGTTTAAGTTTTTAGATTAAAATGATATCAAATTTGAGATCATTTGGATTGGGACCCACGAGGAAAGGACGCGCAAACACTAAGCCCACGTCAGTCCGTCGTGAACACTCAAGCCGTTCCCCAAAGTCACGAAAGACTCACACCAATATT